CTAAAACTTTTGTATCTAAGTAGCTGAATAATATTACACACATATATGAAAATGTGTGTGTCACAAATTTATGTTTGCTTTACAGTTATATGAGATTTATGAGAGTTCATTAATTTTCAATAATGAAGAGCTTAAAAGTGACTTAAATGTTTAGCTTGGGGCAAATATTTAATAATACAAATGCTTTCGATATGTTTGTTGTCTACTGGGTACTCAAGTATTTAGAAATTAATTAATAATTTACCACTTAAAGTAGGAAATCCTCCTTTAGTAAGTAACAGAATTATGCATCTCAACCTTAACACTAAACCAAACAACATTTCTATATACATAATATATTTGGAACTTTAACCAAATTCAAAACTACTAAACATTTATGAAATAATTATTATTTATTTCTCTGATACCAATACTATTCGTTATTAATTATTTTTTACTCAATTCCAGGCCCTTTTGGATAGTGAGCACGGCAAATATGCAGACTACTAAAAAGGTGATGGTGGAAAATTAATGGGGAAAGGCAATACGAAGAAAATGAAACTACCAGCACAATTATTTGTATTGCGTAGACGTTGCTTAGTTGCCTTACTCTTGTGTTTTGCCGGATATTGCTAAACGGTTTATCGCACTTGCTTGTCGAGGTCACCGACGACCGGAAGCAGCGGTATATTATTAATAACAAGAGGGCCCACCACCACCAGCAGTGAGACTACTTAAAGCTCTGCTCAATGCGGCGTATGCGCAATATACTATATATATACATACATACATACATACATATAAATATACATATACACATATATATGGTACATATATTCGCTTTTATATTTTATTACTGTCACCCAGCGAGCCATAAACATTTCTGCTCTGAACCGAATATTTGCCGACACATTTGTAAAATCGCAATATGGTTTGTTGTTTTCTTTTTTTTTTATGTACATATTTTTATTTTTTTTTTTTTGAGCATCTTGCAGTGCTGTTTTTTTTTGGTGGTCTCGATCACGAACCCGAGGCTGTGGCAAACATTGAGATTCCCCTTTGAGCGCTTATTGTAAAGCGCCTTAATAAGATTTTATTGCGCCGAGTCACGGGCGGTTGGGCGGAGACGGCTCCGTCCGTACGTGTTTGTGTACAACTGGCGCAGATAATAAGTTCCATTCATGGCACGGAAGGACGCCTCATTCTTATCCGTTGGGTTTCTTTTCAGTCCTTTTGTGACAGCAACTGCGACCCCGCCAGGATAATGACTGGCCATTTTGTACACCTTCCCCAATTTGGGTTGCACAACGAAACAGAATTGGCTATTTGGGATTTTCGTATTGTGTTTGCCGTCTGTGGTTATGTTTGTGGCTATTAGCGTCAAGTAATTAATATGCCCTCGACCGGCCGGGCACTCAAATTGAATTGCGTGCGGTAAATGCGTGAAAATATTCAAAAATATCTGAATGGAAAAAAGCAATTTGCATTTAAAACTTTAATTTTGTGATAAAATCATACAGATTTACCGGAGACGTAACGTGCTTTTCTGCTTTTTTTGTTGTTAAATCCACACAAAATTAGCTTGGCTGAAGCTCTTGATACGCTGCTTAAAAAACGCATTGTATTTTGTTTTTTGTTCGCTTTTGCTTTGCTCTTTGCCAACATCAAGTTTCATGTGGAAAGTGAATGAAAAAAGACAACAACGATTCAATTCTGCGAATTCTTTATAAAAGCATTTTTCATATATTATTGCGCAAACTTTTCTTCGTTTTTTTTTTTTTTTTTTTTGGTGGTAACATTATAAGCTGGTCCCACACATATGTGTGTGTGTGTGTGTGTTTGTTTGTTATCGTATATATCGTATATATAGCTTATGTATATATGTAGGCGATAAATCTTCTTCGCTTGTTACGAGTTGGAAATACATAACTGATGGTAAAAGCCCTTAAGCCACTTAACCATATTTCGAAAAGAAAACTATTTTTCCGTGGTTACATACTTGATACATAGAGTAATACAGTTTTAAAAGTAACAAATTTTTATTGCTATTTGTCACTTGTTAAGATGGCAAAACAAATTCGCTACTCAGTCATAAAAAGAACGAAAAACAAACAAGAGTGATTTATTATTGATTGGAGATACATTTCTAAAAATAAGTTCTAAAAGTAAATAACAAAGTGGAAAAGGGAATTGGGAAAATAATGCTTCGAAAAAGTCTACTTTGTGTTTTATTTTAATTTAACGTTATCTGTAGACCGGATTTGAAGGTTATTTACAGAGACAGATTGATTTATTCACTGGGTGATATAGATATTTCTGATTTTTTACAAATATATAATGGAACGTAATGTAAAAGCAACTTTTTGGGGCATTGATTAAATTAGCTACTAATAAAAATGCTAAGATATTTGATTTAATATGATTTGCCTCTACGATTAATGGCTTCGGATTAATGAAATAAATAATTCTCTGCCGGGCTTACAGAAAAAATATTTACGAGCTTCTCGGAAAAGCAATCGCCCCGAATTTAAGACAATCTCCATATTTATGATGGGTAAATCGTTTTAGTATTCAGAAAGTATATTTCTAAATCCAAAGAACGTGTATTTCCCAGCTTTTCCAGAGTTTTTTTAATCAGCGTACATTTTTCAACAAATTTAGAAATAGGATGTTAAATTTGCAGAATGTTCTTTTTAATATGTGTGGAACTATAAAAGTAATTTAGCTCTAACATATCTGTAGAGCAAATTTTATTACTGTGATTTTTAATTTCAAAAAGGATATTTTTTAAAAATAGAAGATTTCATTTCTACTTTTTAGAAATATTTTCTATTATTAAGAAATAAATAAAATTAAATTTCCCTTTCCAATTTCAATTTCAAAAACAAGAAATTTAATTTTTATTTCTTAAGGTGGTTATTTTCTGAGTGTTCTACTGAGCGTATGGGGAATAACTTTAGACATTCCTCCGAGACATTGGCACGTCAAATATACAAATATTTTTTCAAATGTTGCACAAGTGCAATGTGCATTGAGTAGTTTTCCTAAATCTGTACACACTGGAGTTTTGCAAACCATATTGTGAGCTTTTAGTCGCGTTTGGTTCGTTGTCCCACATGAGCATATAGCCAAATTAATAAAAATTTCAGTAAAAAGCGAACGAAAAAAAACTTTTCTCCACGCACACACTCAGCCACAACACTGACTTTGTCCGCATCGCGCAAAATGTGGCCATAAATGCGAAAGGTTGCCACCGACACACCCACTACCCCCTTCGGATGCGCTGCGGCCAATGCACTTAAGATGTCACAAAGCTGCAGCCGCAGAAGCAGCCACATCCTTAGAGTCAAAGAGTTGCAACATGAGCGGTTGCCACATGCGCCACTCAACCTGTACAGCGTCAGTTGCAGCTTCAGCTGCTGTTGTCTGCTTCTTTTTACTGGCCAATAACTTTTCTGTGCCCGCTTAGGTTACCCGGCTGTGGTTCAAAGCTGCGCCAGTTTTACTTTTATGGCTGCCACCGATTAGTTTCTGGTCCGAAACTTTATGGTCCCACTGCAGACAAAGAGACAAAAGGTGTTTGTGTGTGTGTGTGTGTGTGTGTGTGTGTGTGGCTAAGTTTTCATTACAGCCATAAAGTGTGCAAACGCATTGTCAAAGATCCCTAGTCTCATAAAAAGCCAGATGCAGTCTGTGTCCTGTATGCATGAATGTTGCTTAAAGTTAGTCTTTCGCACTGCATTTGCATTTTCGATTACTTTGAAGTTGGCCTGTTCGATAGCATTGATCTAAACTCGGTCGAGAAGCAAATTATGTATGCCAAGTGACTGCTAAAGTGGAGTAAGTGTGTGTGTATGTGTGTGGTTGTGTGTGTGGTTGTGTGTGTGTGGTTGTGTGTGTACTTAGTGCCACTGCGCACATTTGTAACCAATTTCGTTGCTTCATTTGTGGCCAAACAAATACAAACTCACATCATTTTCCAGTGTGCGTATAAAAAAGTAAAAAAAAAGTCAGTAGGCCATACGAACTACTGATTACACTGAGAATAAATAAAAGGTCGCCAAAGAATAGCCAGTCTTATTTGTGAGGCAGCGATTTTTCTCAAATTAAAACCCAGTTGTACAAGTATATTTTAAACATAGTATAAATGCATTGTTTTTTGGAAAGTTGAATAGATTTTCTGTTATTGACAAACTATTTGACTAATTACAAATTATTTGTCGTACAAATATATATTTTTCAAAGTTAATAAACAAACTACTCAAATATTTAATTACTTATCTTAGCGACGCGCATTTGCTGTTTGTTTTGAACTATTTGGCATATTTTTTCTAAGTGCACTCTACTGTGCCACATACTCACAAGTGTACGAGTATATGAATAAGTACTGAGTTCTTTGACTGTTTTTTGCGGTTACTTTTCTAATCCTTTAGCAACACCAGATGTGGAACTGTCACAACAACCCACACATATATGTTGAATGCTGATTTGTGTGTTTCACTGGCTTAGTGCCTAGTCCGACTTTGAGCACTCCTTTCGTTGTGGCACATCTGTAACCACAATGTTGAAAACTACACACCAAGTGCGATAAATGAGTAAAGAATTCACAACTCACCCAGAATCTGATTAGCAACAGCTGCAATCGAATCAATTTGGGCTTTTTTGTGTGTTGAAAACTGTCCAACAATGTATTTTGTTAAAGTATTCAATGTGACCAAATCGAAAGTAAATACAGAGCTATAATCATTTTCAAGGTTGCTTATTTCAGCTTTTCCAATTTTTTTTTAAGGCTTATATAAGTTGGGGTGGGAACACTAACGGATGTTAAAAAATACATGGAGTGTACTAAACAATTACTATGAAATAGTCTCACGTATTTCAGTTGTAACAGTGGCGATTGCCATAAAAGCGCTCTGAGCTGGATGTTAACTTTTTTTTCTTTGTGTCGTTGGATTCCTTTTTTGGCCAACCATGAAAGATGTCGTGACTGAAATGCGAAATTGAAAAATTCGCAGACTTACCTCAGTGGGAGAGTGTTGCAGTGAGTGAGCCAGAACTTCACATTTGCCGCAAAGAACTGAAATTGAAAATAAAAACTAATTAAGGAAATCCTTGGGCATTACTTCAGAATACTATGTATGGATATTTGTATAGCTTTTAGTTTTATCGCGCAATGTGAATCCAATCAAATGTGAACTGTGCGCTTATTTTTTTCATTGCCTAACCCCGAGCGTTCTTGGGGCATTCAGTGCTATCCCATTCCATATCTGGAAGATCCCACAATTGCGCCGCACATCTGCCACAAGGAAAGACTTAACTTGTCTCGTGTTCAGCGTAAACAGAATTATTTCCAGCTGCCTTGCTCTCTTGCTTTGTGCAACATTTAATTGGGTTTTCTGCCATATTAGATTTTCATTCTCCACTCGCAGCAAGGAATCTTAACTGTCTGCACTGCACAGACGGTGCATCAGCATAAATTTGAATACGAAACGCATCAGGCATCGAGGCTGTTCGAGTTCGGCCTTTAAGCAGTGTATTCGCATGCGCTGCTTTAAGATACAACTGCATCTGCAACTACTTGAATATGTATCTACATGTCTATGTATGTATCTGTACAACTGTGCAACTTACATTTGAAATTTAAGACCTTTCATGTATAAACAGTGGATGGCAAGCAACAAAAGCATGCAAGCAGAAAAAAAAAATACAAATACTGAAAAGCTTAAAACAATTCTCTAAATGTATATTTTATGAACCGACAATGCATGGCCATTGTAAAGAGGAATAAATAAGAGTACAGCTGCGTACAATTAGCAGTATGTCAAATACCCTATGTAGAAACTGGAATATGTGCTATACATTTTATTTAAGTTAATACAAATGAACTGTATGTATTACTATCAATTAAGAGTAAAGTTAAATCACGAAAGTATTTAAATGAATGAGAAGCATCAGCAGTTTCTGACTAAGGGCAAACTTTGGAATGGTGCACTATTTACTAAGAGCGGTCAAGCCATTTATGCTTTACGTTAATTTAATTGAATGACAATGCAAATTAACTTCAATCCATTCCATTCGAATGGACAGAATAACTCATTAGGCAACCAAATATGAATCGAACATATGTAATTATATGAACTGTTTATTCAAACACTCATTTACGTTGCTTTCGCAAACAGGAAGAGGAAACAGAGGATGTAAGCCCAAAGCCCCATCGATCCGATTTCAAATGCGTATCTTGGATACCTGTTTAACCTCACATCAGACTCGCACACACACACACACATTCGTATATGTAGTGTGTGTGTGTGTGTGTGTGTGTGGATGTGTATGTGTGGAACACGTAGCTGTGATTTTTCATGCATTCAGGCAGACAATACCAAAACTTCATCCGCCCTTCGATATTCCTCTCAGCTCTCGCAGCGGGAAGCTGCTGTCAGTGGTCCTGTCAAGTTGCCTTGTGTGCAATTGTTATGCTCTCTCTCTCTCTCTCTCTCTCTCTGTCTCGCTCTCTATCTCTATCTCGAGGGAGATAGAGTAAGAGAGAGCGAGAGAGAGAGAGAGAGCGAGAGAGGAAGCGAGCATTGCGCTGAACTGTCAGCAGTTGTAATTCTATTTGTGTGCTTCTGCAGGAGAATTTAATAAGTTGCCCGCATCATTATTATCATCATTATCGCCATCAGTATTACGTTTTTACCTCTGCATTCGACGCCGTGTAACTTGCACATATTCATCTTCATCTTCATCTGGCTCTACTCATTTTGTCATTTAGCCATCCTGTCGTTTTTTCATGTAAGTGGGTTATTTAGTGTAAGTAATGCAATAAGTCTGTTAGTTTTCATATTTCCTGCTGTCTGCAACTGCATCTGCGTATCATCATCATCCACTGCTATTCAGAGACTAGCACTCCAAAAAAATAAAGGAAAAAACACGAAAACTTTTTAGCACGGTACACAAACACACACACACACACACAGACACAAAAACTGAAAGATGATACTGCAAAGTGAATTAGTGTGGCACGAATGTATAAATCCTCCGCGACTTCTCGGAGGATGGCTGGCAACTTTTTATGGGACTTGGGCAACATTCGCACACTTTAATACGCTGCATGGAATTTTAATTCATTTTGTTAAGCTCACTCGGAGCAGATTACCAAAGTTAAAGCAAAAGCTGCCTCGCGAATAGCAAAGTGTTTCTAATGGTCAATTAACTAAGTCCAGCTGCTTTCTCTCTCTCTCTCTCTATCGCTTTCTCTCTCTCTCTCTCTCTATACATATACCTATATCTATTTCCTTTTCCTACTTATTTTCTTTGCAGTTGTTTTCACTTAGGTATCTGAAAGAAGTACATTTTTTCCTTGACCATTCCTCTTGGTTTCTTTTGACTTTTATCAGATTTCTTTTTTTTTTGGGTCTGACTGGTTTGCTGATTTAATTGCTTCTCGACGGCAAAATTTGAGAAAAATGCGAATGCACTTGCAGACTTGCAATATTTGGCAGCCGCATGCAAAAAGTCATTGGAAATTGAATATTACAGTTGTCAATCTGTCAATCGACAAATAACAAATTGCGAATTTTAATTGAGTATTTTCTGCTGGAAACTTATAACCCTGGCCATTAATTACTAATGCAATCGCTGTCAACTCAGTTAGTTTTTTACAAATAGTTCTTAAAATGAGCATAGAGTGTAATTTGAATAAAAAAAAAGTACTAAATTAAATTCGAAACATTTTAGATATCATGAATAGCGTAGTAGTATAGATTTTTAGTTGAATAATTTCCAACAACAATTAAATTTATACGAACTATTCAAACATTTTCCAGCTCATATCAGACATCATAACAAGGGAAAAAATAGCGACACCCTGTATGTAAAAAGCAGTGAATTTTATTGAAGCGAAATACGACATCTAAGCATGACCTTATATGGTTGTTGGCAATAGAAATAATTTGGAGGAAAACCCAGTGAAAACCGACCTACCATAAAGAGAAACTACGAAATGAACACGAACGTGACAATAAAATGAAATGTGTAAAAGCTGTCAGTGGTAAACTACAATGCTGAGAAAGAGAAGGAGAGAGAGAGAGCTGCAGGGAGGGAGAAGAGAAGAGCACATGACACGGTGGACGTGCACTGTGAATTGTGGACAGAAAACAGAGACATCGACCAGGGACAAGAGACAGGAGACAAGAGACAAGACCAGAGACACATTGCTCTGTCACTTGATTGTGGCTGCTGTTTCAGTTCTCCAACTTACCGCTGCCAAACGCTGAAGAGCAAAGAAAAAGAGCGAATTGAGAATGCAATTTGACAAATTTATTTGCAAAGGCAGCAACGCGACTTGAGTGCAGAACAATAATAGTATGCAGTGTAAGCGTATGCACTCAGAAAAAAATATCTGGCAAAGCTTATAAAAACTGTGCAGTTTTGAGGTTGCTCTTCTAATTTTACGTAAATAGTTTTTTCGTCAATATAAAGAGCTAACATTTCTAATTTACAATATAATATCGTTTTTTTTTTTTAAATTTAAAATATGACTTCTAAAACTATTTCTTAAAAATATAAAATGTTTGTAAAAAGAAAAAAAAGGAAACAATGAAAATTTACGAGCAAATTACATCGAATACTTGGAAGTTATATCTATCCTTTGTTAGATAACAAGATAGAATAGCCGGAGTCAAACTGCCATTAGCTAAGCATTACTATAAATTTCCTCCGAAAGGTATAAAATTTAGAAGTTCCATTCTAATAATTTATTATCAAAATAATATGCATTTTGGGTTAGTTTGCTTGGTAATTCTTATTGAACAGAAAATGTATTTAAAGGCGAACTCATATTTCGAACGATTGTTCCTACTACTTCCTTAAAGTTTGATCTCAATGATTTTTAATCCATATATGATAAATATGATATAAGTTTTGTTTTGAAATCTTACTAAAAATTATTATTATGATTTAACTCATCCGACCTCAGACTTAGAAGTTAGGCCTGATCCATATTCTGCCTACAGCAAAAAGACGTATATATGCCAATTATCATAATAATAGCTTCAAAACGAAGGAATTATGATGTGCTGATCACGAATATATATTATTTATGCCTTATGGGGTCGGAGACGTCAGCTTCAAAGCGCTATAAACTTCAGGACAAAATTAAATTACCCTCTACAAGGGTATAATAAATTGGATTTCTTCTTTTTAGGGCATGTTTTTCCCTGAGTGTATACCATGCAAAATATTTATGAGAGTGTGTGCTTGTATGTGTGTGTATGTAGCAGCAACAAAATTAAGTTTTGCATATGCAACCCGCCGCAATATGCAACATATGAAAAACGAAGGAAAATTTGCCAACTTCCTCTTTGTGACAGTATGCAAATGGCGAACCAAGAACCGATGGCGCGTAAGATCGAGTTATCCTGACTGCCAGCCGCACGATTTTAATAAAAAAAAAGGAGGGGAACTCTATGCAGCATGCTCCACACACCACGCTCCACGCTCCAGGTTCCAAGTGCATGCCACCTCACCTGTTGCTCGAAAGTAAAGAAAACTGGCCCGGTCTGAATGTCTCCACACATGTCAGTGAGAAATGCATTTAAAATGTGCTCCATAAGCACGCATTAGACACACTCAATTTCCTGTTCCATTTTGCTGCTCACAGCCAGAGCTACAAACTCCATCCGGGATCGGCACCGGCATTGGCAACGGCATCGACACCGGCTGCTTTCACACAGCATGATGCTGCTTATGAAAGGCCCTCGGAATTCCCATTACACCATACCGGGAGCTCTGTCATTTGGCATTTCATATATATACACATAAATGTAAATACACTCAACAAAAAAAAAATGTAAGTTGCAATTTGAAAATATCACACCACATTCTTATTAATATATTTCTAAAAAAAATCATTTTTTGATTTTATTTTTTTAAAATTCATCTCAAGTTTTGAAAAAATGTTGTTTTTACGTGTAATATAAAAACAAAAATAAATGAAAATAATATTTCAAAGCTCATAATTATAATTTTTTTCAGAATTTCAGAAATATTTTTTTGTAAAAATGAAAGTTTACATTT